TCATTTTGACCAATCAACCAAATTGCTGTTCGGTTCTCTTGTCGCATAATCACAGTAAAAAGATTGGTAGAAGGGGCCACGAGCTCCTGTGGTCCATTATTTTTGCAGGTATGATGTATTCCTGCCAGAGGTTTGTCTATGTTGCTCTCAGAACACTTGAGTGGCAGATACCACAAGCTTCCTAGTGGTTCATGCCAACAGTTTGCTAATTTTAGGTGGTTTCTTTTTCTCCTACATTTCTCCTTGCTCTGTTCTGTGACCAAACCAATATTGATACTTACATCTGTGAGGAAAGTCAGCTTCTCAGACTCTGATCTGGGTACGCCTCTGCTATACTTTCGTAGATCCTGTAATGTTTTTTGGAGCACCTCGCGTATTTGGTTCTCTAGTGTTGGCAAAGTTTTCTGGGAGGTAGACAGTAAAGAAGGACATTTAGGTCGGTTCAACATGTCTGGTTTTGGAAGGAAAACAAAATCCCTCTAAGAGTGGTTTACGCCTGCACATGATCTTTGCTGCTCTTAGGAGTCCAAGAGCTCGCTATCCTTGCATCCCATGTGTGATAGTGGGATCACATGTAAATTGAAATATGGCCTTCATTGAGAGAATGCAGGGGGCTAGGATCTCCCTGAGAAATCAGGCTAGACCTCACTGCCAGGCGGGCAGAGTAGCTGCAGTGTAAGGCAACCTTTGACCTACAGTGAGCCAAAACCTAGGTCCTCACAGGTTGCACCAGAGAGGTGGTGATGTGAGAAATGTACTGACCTCTCCATTCCTGATCAATACCTGATTGAACATGGCTGTTGAGCTGCTTATTTTATGTAATGTTACAGAAACACGTATTTTTTTCTCCTTCAAGTCTGAATTTAGAGCTTCCCTGTATTTTAGCATTTTCCTTTAATGGAATAAGATATATTAGTTACATATATATATGTATATAAAATTGAAAACCCAATATGCTTATACTAGTATAGTAATAAAATAAAGCAATTGAATCTTACTTGAGATTTTGAAGACATTTCCAGTTAAATAGAAATTATTGTGTTTTAGTAAGCTCATAGCAGTAACTTGTCACCCAGCTGATCAACGCTCACAAATAGAAGGAAATATCATGGCTGCCATTGAAAAGGCAGGAGTTATGAGTCACAAGTAGATTAAATGATTTGCCTGTTGTCAATCTTCAGCTTAAAGGCAAATCTGAGGACACAGCACGGGTTTCTTTACCTCTAACTCTCAGTTCAATTTGTTCTCAGATTGCCAGATTGAAGGATAATGAAGTACTATCTATGCATATAAAGATGTAATTCAATTGCAATCAATTTCAATCCAAGGTTGAGAGGCTGAACTGATTTTTCAACAGTAACTGCTACAAACAGCTTAGTGTGGCACCTCTGTTACTCACAATGATATGTCTCACAAGCTCATTTGTGAGTTTCTCTGCCAGACAAGGGATAGTAGCCCTTCCTTCTTCCATAAGAACACTGCAAAAGAGAGGAAAAGGTGGTTTTGGACAGACTGCATGTGCGGGGCAAGGAGGCAGCAGTGATGCTCTGCTCTGTTTTCACTAGTTCTGCTACACAAATTGAGTAGAGAAAGGGCCCTCTGGGGAGGGCTAGTACAGACATGGCAGCAGCCCAGGACTCTCTGTGTGCCATGGCTTTTATGCGAGAGTTGTTTCACACCTACCGCTACTGGCTAAGCAAAGGGAAACAAACAATCTGAAAACAGCAAATTCTTACAGCAGATCAATGTGCTGCTGTATTATTTCTGGGTGTGTGAAATACACTGGTTTAAAACCCTTTTCACCTGCCACTCTCTATATTGTGATTGATTTGCTGCTGAGTCATCTTCTGGGGAAATCTGTGCCCTCAGCACAGGCGGTATCCTTTCTCATGCTGAGTTTTATCGTGTTTTCCAGTGAATAGAAATACTTCAGAGCTTGAATTGAAGTGCTTAGATGCTTAACTGGAATTCTTTGGGCCTGTTCTGACCTTCTGAAGTTAACTGCACTTCTCCCAGGGTTAAGGAGAGATATGTATCAAACTTGCATCCGAAATACATTTAAAAAGTTTATTTGATATGTCAAATTCTTCTGGCTTACTGGAATGCAGCACTACAAGGATAATGAGAAATAGCAAGTATAACAAACACCTGTTTTTTACCCTAATTTAAACCTCAGCAAGTCAACAGGAAGTTTTGCAGTGACTTTAATATATTTTTGACTAGGTCCTTTCTGCAGGAAGTACCTGAAATATTTGTGAGTCTCAAAGAATTTTCTCTCCTGCTGGATTGCAGTGGCCAAGGCCAGTTTGTCATGGATGTCCTGCTGCCCACGACACTTCACGATCATGTAACCTTTTTTGAGGGGGATGACCTGGTTTCGTATTATGTTAACGACAGACCGTTCAGTTCCTCTGTCCACCAGGTCAGGTTTCGTGAGGATCCCTGTGAAGTTACCCAAAGAGAAAGTTAGTTCAGGGCAGAAGTTGAAGGTGGGAGGACAGAGGTGCAATAGGACACCTTGCCACCGCAGCAGGAACGCTTTGTACTGTGTTTTATAAAGCAACTTCTCTTTTAGTTTTCTCTCTCCTAGAAAGCTCTCAGCTCCTGGGCTTTGCACTGTAAAACTTGCTCTACAGTTGGCTTCCCACCACGTCTTTTGCCTCACAAACCTTCTTTAGCCAGCAACAGCAAATTAACCCGCCATTTCCCACCATTAACTCTGAGATTTTCAGTTTCCAATTATTCATAACATGGATGCCAGCAAGGCTCAAAATTGAGGGATTCTTAGGACTGCTGGATCATCTTTAGCTTTGTAAATAGTTTATTTAAGCTGTCTTCTTTTTTCCTTCTTCTAGTAGCTAATTTTGCAGATCTGTTGTGGAGTACAGATCATCAGACCTTCATGGATATAAAGATTTGCACTTCAACTCGTAGCTTAAAAATTGCCTCACCTAGTGTCCTTTCTCCGTTGGGGTCCACCTCTTGAGCCATTTTCAGTGCTTCTGTTGTTGCAATATCCACATTACATGGCACTACTACCAAATTGAGTGTCTCTTTGCAGGCAATAATTTTTTTAAGTAGTATTTTGATCTGCAAAGCAATACAGCAGTAGTGAAGTTCACTGAAATCAGATGCTTCCATGTAGGATGAGACCATTTTTAGCCATACGAGCCGCTGTCTGATGACATTAAATGTCACATATACTGAGGATAGTGTTACATGTTAAAGGATGGCATGGAAATGGGTAAGCATAAGAATGCAGACTCTTTTCCTATGTCAAGATTAATCCAAACATCTAGCATGAATAAGACTAAACTGTTATTTTGTTCTCAAAGCTATGTAAAGTTCAACCTCTCACGCATATAATCTTTCATTATGGAAATGTTAAAGATATTTCATAAATAATCACATGTGAGAAGAACAAGTTCTGATATCTAGGTACACACTTATAGAAAGAAAGCATGCTAGATTGCGCTGATAATAAATCTCAAATTTGTATATCTGAAAGGAAAGCAAATGTCTTCAGCTTATATTTCAGTGGAGTACTTCTGAAAAAAAACAAGTCACACATGATATCTAGTTGACATTGTTTCTATGTTTCAATGCCAAACTAAAAGAGTTTCTCACAGTTTGGGTTGTATTGCAAAAGGTTCACACAGCTCTATTGTGCTTATACTGAAGTAAGTTAACTCTTTTTTTTTCTGAGTTTCAGTAAAGGTGCCTCTTTTCTACTTCCAATCCATCCCAATTTCTGACATGCTGTGCATGCTAGTACAGGGCTATGTTTTGGATTTGTGCTGAGAACAGTGCTGATAACACAGGGATGTTTTCCTCATTGCCCAGCAGTGCTCACACAGCATCAAGGTCTTTTCTGCTTCTCACAGCAAATAGGCTGGGGGTGCACAAGAAGGTGGTGGGGACAAAGTTGGGACAGCTGACCTCAACTGTCCAAAGGGATACTCCATACTATATGATGTCATGCTCAGCATATAAAGCTGGGGGAAGAAGAAGGAAGGGAGGATGTTCAGAGTGATGGCATTTGTCTTCCCAAGTCACAGTTGCGTGTGATGGAGCCCTGCTTTCCTGGAGATGGTTGAACACCTGCCTGCCCATGGGAAGTGATGAATGAATTCCTTGTTTTTCTTTGCTTACGCATGCAGCTTTTGTTTTAGCTATTAAACTGTCTTTATCTCAGCCCACAAG